TTTCTAGTGGATCACGAATATCTTGAGTTAACCACTTAATCCGCCAGTCACGAAAGAAACAGGCTAGAGTGAGCCATTTTATTGGCAGACTGTAAGACAGTCACCGTGACCTTTGAGTAGAGTTAGAACGAATAATAGATAGCGAAACCCCTAGCCAAAATGGCTCAGAGAATCATGATGAATAAATGCGTTTTTCAGATGAGGAGAATTGAGATTTATCCCAATCCGAAAGAGTGAAATAGATTTTCGCATAGCCATAATCTCCTACATGTTTACCCGAAAACAGACATATGAAGTGAAAAGTACAAATTCAAATCAAAGAGTAAAATTTACACAAATCAAAAAAATTTCAAACAAGTGCAACATGAGAAGGTGTCTTTATCGTACCCTCGAAAAAACCTTGAACATGCATGTTTCTATAATGAGCAACCAAACAACTTCTAAAAATAATACGGAAAAATGGAAATGTATTGTGCAAAATAGCACATCAAGTTAAGGAAACTACAAACTGTGCTGAGTCTTCATTAGTCATACTGTACATTAATACGTTCCATTACGATCAACCGAAGGAGCGTATCCAAGAACACGGCAGTTGCAGAGGAGCCAACGATGGTGTGAGCTACTGAAAAACGCCTATATTTAATTGTATGCACTACTCACAACGTTGTAGATCGTACTCACTGAAATTCGTATCGCAAAATATTCATAAAATGACGATGCATTTCTAAAAATAACTAGAATGGGTGCGAAGGACTGGGGTTACTGCCATTCCATACAAGTAACAAGAAAGGTGGCTCAGTGGAATACTTATTGAGAACGAACAAGAGAGGGAACTAGTATTTTACCGACACTCGTGAAGCTAGAGCTGAATAGCGAGAAGTCTCTAGTGTGTAGTCAGGAGGAGCAGTGTCGGCACATGTTTTAAGCTAGTGAGTTTTCTTCGAGTCCACTTTCTTTATCAGCACGACGGTTCGTAAAGTAATGCTGACAGCTTGGCGGTGCGGGTGCAACTTGGTGAGGGGTTGGATGGCATGGCGGAAGATCGGCTTGATGTGAAATTATGAGGTTAGTGACAAGTGAGGCAGTTTACACATGGGCTTTGTTTTCATTATGACTAAAAATTTTACCAGTAGTTGCCTGGGGCGAACTTTTTTGGACATGACATCTTTGCTTGTCTTTAAAAATGAAACATTTTCAACGCAAAGATTTACGCTTGGAAAACCGCTGGTAATCAATGGTTTCGTTTACACTTTCAGGTTGAGTACCTCACCACACGGTGCGCTTAACTTGATGCTTACGTTGTGGCGTCAGAAGCACTCCATAAGGGCTCCTATTGATGAAATTGTGCAGTTTTTAGGGCTCTCTTTCGGCATGTCCAAGCTTTCAGCAAACGATTCCTCAACAACTTCTTTCGGTGCACCGTTATTAAAGAAAAAGCAGCATCAGCAGCAATTTAAAGGTTGCATGCTCAGTCTCTGCAAGGAGCAAGAAGGCTTCCACTTAAATGCATCATAATACAGTATACGAAGAAAAGTTTGTTTTCGTAAGGTCGACAGGATTCAAGCTCTGGCCGAAAAACCCACTTCAAAAAATACAGTACTCGTCGAGCAGTTAAATACTGCGAAGGTAACAAGAAATTAATCTAGTTGCTGATTTGCCAATTTTGCTAGGTTCGAGCTCCCCTTTGTAAACATGTGATTCAACACGAATTGTGATTACTCTCAAGCAAAACTCACTACCTTCAAGTGCAGATTAAAACCTTTTGATTTCAGTTAGAAGGAAGTAACTTTACTTGGAAGGAGCGCTTCATTTGACGATGCCCTTCAAGCATCAAAACTGATATACAGCCTAAACACTTACTATATCCCAGCTCCTTGAGCTCAGATATAGAAAAAACTGACAATTTAGAACCATGATTGTCGAAAACCACTTAGCAAAAACTAACATTTACGCTCAAAGCAACGTTCTCTTGAATGAGCACCAATAATACACCAATAATCAAGCCACAAGGAGACAGTGACTGAGAGGCAACCAAGCGTTGACACTTTTGCAAAAAAAACTTTTCATATCTTCACTATATTCAGGAAGAATCGAACCTCTCTGAAAGAACATCCGAATTTCTCCAGGCGGAGGCGGTCCTTGCAGTGTCTCTGATGATAGTCGATATTGTTAACATCAAGAATGTGCGTTGGATTGTAGCGGCACATCACCACACAATCACCAGGAACCTATAACTGTTTGAAATAATCGAAAAGATCTCTAATTTATACCAAAAGATGAATGACCAGATCGAGAAGGAATCGCCATTGTGAGCAACTAGCTTAAAATTCCTCACTCGAAGAGCTTACTGCTCTGATTTTCAAAAGAAACTAACCAAGTTACATTGTAATTTTGATATTCGCTCCCAACATACGTAGGACACCGAGGAAAGCAAGTACCACTTGTACGGAGGAAGGGCAATTGTATCGGTCGGGGTCAGTGCCCTCGCTGCACTTCAGTCTTTTTTCACTCGCTCTCTACTGCCAACATCGAGGCAGTGGTGAGGAAAGCAAAGAGCATAACGCTGCTCACCTTTTCGAGTCTGCCTGCGCTCCTCCCCGTAATGGCATGTGTCTGCGAGACTTGAACTCTACCCAAACGTAATGAATATGCGGTCAGCGCCACCATTTAACGTGCTGTATAAAAGACGGCGCCCGTATACATGCCGATCTAGAGGGGAGTAAAGGAATCCGAGCTCCGTCAACGAACATAGACCAGGCACGGCTTTGTTTCCGCCAAGGAATTCAAGAAACCGAACACGTTATGCGATGTCGTATCCGGTGAACGAGGCGGTTATTAACTGATTGTGAGTACCTTAATCGTCAAACAAGCACCAGGACGAGAGTCAGTGCAATGATCTTACATCTTTATGAAAGCTTTGAACGAAATGAATGTAACCCGTGTCCTTCTAACGAGGATCCATTGGACTACTCTAGCTCGCAACACCGACAAATGACAAGTCCTGGCGCTCGTTGGATAAAATCGATCATCAACGGAACGACAGAGAAGATTATATTAATTTATTGAAATCACAAAAAAAGAAGGACATTGAGTTACCGAAAGAAAGGTTCCTTGACCTCTATTCGCAGAGCACGAGAAACTTGAGATGGCAGAGATTGGAATTGATAGCACACTTTCAAATGTAGAGTAGCGAGATAAAATTACTAGCGAAATAACTGAATGAAGAAATGCAAATCTGATTTGCTAAAAAAAAAGCTCATACCAATGGTGCATGCTTCTCCAACGTCCGACATCGTTTCGACAGGATTTCCAATGAGGTCGCCGGTTGGCCGTTCACATGATTCGTGACCTTTGGACCTGATATAAAGAAGTCTTGAACGACGAAGAACTGTGGACTACTTCGAGAAGATGTGCCAACTTGAGAAGAATTCATGCAGATCGCACAATGAGAAATGGGTATCTTACCCCTCATTTGATAGCGGCGTTCACATATTTATCGAGAACGGGAGTGGGACGTTAGCCACGACTGACATATCGCGCCGAGGTGCGAAGTGGCCTCAATCGTAACTAGCTTCATCTTAACTACGCGCCTCCCCTTAATCGTAACTGAGCTCATCTTTCTTATGAGAGTGATGGCAACGATTAGGATAATGAGACAACGCAAATTTTTCATGGTCTTTGGTTTAAAAAGTTTTATTAACATGGAAGATGATAGAAATTACAACAAAAAATCAGCATCGATCAATATCAAACAACTACATCGCCTCTGTAAATGTTATTTAATATCACAGATGAGTGGAAATTCAAAAAAAAAAANACCCTCGAATTTTCCTACTCCATATGGTAATAGAACTTTTAAAACCAAAGACCATGAAAATTTTACGTTGAAATGCTAATTTTAATTTCAGTTTTCATTTTTAATTTTCATTTTCTCATGGTTCTCATCATTTGCTATAATTCTCATAAGTAAGATAAGGTTAGCTACGATCAAGGGGAGGCGCGTAATTAAGATGAGGTTAGCTACGATTGAGGTCATTTCGCACCTCGACGCGAAGTAATGTCAGTCGTGACTAACGTCGCACACCCACCGAAACTAGTCAAACTTATTACCCATCATTCCGGATAAATGATAGCAGAGCTGCGCCTGTTAGAACGGCTCAAGTGTGATGAAGTGAATAACACTGCTCAATGAATTATTTTACTTGAACACTAGTAACGGTTGAACTCAAGCATGACCAGCAAAATGACTTTTTCGCTTGGGTGGGCCGATGACCTATTATTTGACGATTACCTACCTCCGGCAGCAATTTATCAGATTCGAGAAGGCGAATAGATCGATTTCCCTCGGTGGCTATTGATCTGGGTTCTGATTATCAGACCATACTTGCGGTACCGGCAAACATTGGTCTTAGCCCACTGGATAATGATAGTCCAGAAAAAGAATGATTCGCTGATCTAAAAGACAGGAAACATCCAAATTGAAATAGGATAAAAGGATAAAGTTTTAGGCGTTAATCAATCCTGAGGGATGCGCCCCCGCCCTCGACTTCCATTCAGAATCGTAGTGGCGTAATGAGTGCGTGTGTGGCCTATACAATGACTTGCGGTGGCCAGCCGATGTACAAGTCAGTGCTTTTATCCTCCCAGACGAGTCTGGTACCAATTCACCGACCCCGGAGGGATGGAAGGCTTGGTTGGCCTAGGCGGGCATCGATCCGGGATTCGAACCCCTGACCGTGCGTGTGATATAGTGCGCCGCTTGCCACTACACCACCTCCACCCCCATATTGAAATATTGAGAAATATATCAATGGAATTTGTTTTTTTTTGTAGAATGACTCAACATCACAGTTTCAAACGGATTAATTTGATTTCTATGTTTCATGACCTCCGACTTCCTAGTTTCGACTTCCCTCTCAACGCTTCTTCTTATTCTAGAGCGATGATTTTTCTCCATTTAAGCCAATTACTTTTTTAATCAAGTTGTATATCCATATTCACCTGTAACTGTCTAAGTTGCCAGCAAGCCCCAGTAGTGTTGCCTCTCTACGCGTTTTGAACCTGGGCCAGGATCTGATGGAGGCCGTTTCTCTCAGGAGAAATAACAAATAACACTCTCCTGTACACACAAAAAGGTCCCAATGACAGAAGTAGGAAGCCAGGAGATAAAGCTCAAAGCTAAAAAGAAAAACAGCCCTGTCTAGAGGAAAAGGGGATAATAGAGAAAGAAACGGAGAAAGAAGCGAGAAGGTCGCAGTATTAATCCAGTGAGACTCCTCCATGCGACCTTCTCGCTTCTTTCTCCGTTCCTTTCTCTATTACCCCTTTTCCTCTAGACAGGGCTGTTTTTCTTTCCAGCTTTGAGCTTTATCTCCTGACTTCCTACTTCTCTCATTTTGAGTTTTTCTCCTTTTTTCAGTTGTTGACAGAGAACCATAGTTTCTGCCTTTGTGTTGTGTGGCACACTCTGGGTGTATTTGAATAAAACTATATATGTGTATATATCATATACACAATTCATGTGCACACGATGATAGCAAAGTCACAACATGATCAAAAACAAAAAATTTTATGGGAAAGTAGTTTGAAAGATGTAAAATAAGTGTGAAAAAGAAAAAATTGAATAAAAAAAGCGACAACTTCACAGAATTCAGCGATAGAATAATTATCAGATAGATTGTTAGCGCCGTAGAAGTTAGGGGAAGAATGCGGGAGGACTATGAGGAGAGCAGTGAACTAAACAAAATTGGGAGCCACCGCTATATAATATCAAATACTTTGATTTGTTTAAGTTAACTTTAAACAGTGTAAGTTAACAATTTTGGCTCAACATCGAGTCTACCTACTAGACTTTTCGTTCGCTTTAGCCTGCACCCAATAGGCTCGAACTTCGCTTAAAGGTTGACTTCCGAAGCATAGATCCCTCTCACGTTGCTGCTCTTATACCACGAACAAAAGAGCCTACCAGGACGGTATCCTTGTTGTGGTGGTGGATTCCAACCGTTATGTGAATGATGTTCTCGATCGATCGGAGGACCACGCTTATCAACGTGTGAATTGTGCTCTTGAGAGGAATATGGCATAACTTTCCACCACGGCTCTAGACGTAGTTGTTCCTTACGTTTGCAACTCCTGAAAAGGCCTGCATTAAAAAACAATCCACGAATTTACCCAGCTTTTCAAATACATGAAGGCACGGTTCACGATAGTTTTGAGATACATTATTTAAGGCGAAAAGCGGATATATTGGTTGAGAATAGTGAACCGATGGGAAAAACCGAAAAAAA